TTACTTGGTTCTTTCCTTTCCACATATCCTGTGTGTGTGTGTGTGTGTGTGTGTGTGTGTGTGTGTGTATTCATCTAGTATTTACCTAGTTGTGCTTGTGGGGGTTGAGCTCTGCTCTTTCGGCCCGTATCTCAACTGTTAATCAACTGTTTACTAACTACCTTTTTTTCCCACACCACACACACACACACACACACCTCAGGAAGTAGCCCGTGACAGCTGACTAACTCCCAGGTACCTATTTACTGTTAGGTAATGGGGGCATTCAGGGTGAAAGAAACTTTGCCTATTTGTTTCTGCCTGGTGCGGGAATCGAACCCGCACCACAGAATTACAAATCTTTAAGGGTATCCACCAGGCTACCAGGCCCCTGTGTGTGTAGGGGGGGGGGGTGTTGGTGTGAGTACTCGCCTATTTGTGCCTGCAGGATCGAGCATTGACTCTTGGATCCCGCCTTTCGAGCCATCGGTTGTTTACAGCAATGACTCTGGTCCCATTTCCCTATCATACCTAGTTTTAAAATTATGAATAATATTTGCTTCCACAACCTGTTCCTGAAGTGCATTCCATTTTCCCACTACTCTCACGCTAAAAGAAAACTTCCTAACATCTCTGTGACTCATCTGAGTTTCCAGCTTCCATCCATGTCCCCTCGTTCTGTTACTATTTCATTTGAACATTTCGTCTATGTCCACTCTGTCAATCCCCCTATTTTGTACGTTCCTATCATGTCCCTCCTCTTCTTTCTTTTTTCTAGTGTCGTAAGGCACAGTTCCTTCAGGCGCTCCTCATACCCCATCCCTCGTAACTCTGGGACGAGTCTCGTTGCAAACCTCTGAACCTTTTCCAGTTTCCTTGTGTTTCTTCAGGTGGGGACTCCATGAAGAGACGGCATACTCTAAGACTGGCCTTACGTAGGCAGTGTAAAGCGCCCTAAATGCCTCCTTACTTAGGTTTCTGAATGATGTTCTAACTTTTGCCAGTGTAGAGTACGCTGCTGTCGTTATCCTATTTATATGTGCCTCAGGAGATAGATTAGGTGTTACGTCCACGCCCAGGTCTCTTTCACGCGTCGTTACAGGTAGGCTGTTCCCCTTCATTGTGTACTGTCCCTTTGGTCTCCTATCTCCTAGTCCCATTTCCATAACTTTACATTTGCTCGTGTTGAACTCCAGTAGCCATTACTCTGATCATCTCTGCAACCTGTTCAGGTCCTCTTGGAGGATCCTGCAATCCTCATCTGTCACAACTTTTCTCATCAACTTTGCGTCATCCGCGAACATCGACATGTAGGACTCTACTCCTGTAAACATGTCGTTAACATATATTAGAAATAGAATTGGTCCCAGCACCGATCGTTGAGGTACTCCACTTGTTACTGTTCGCCAGTCCGACTTCTCGCCCCTTACCGTAACTCTTTGACTCCTTCCTGTTAGGTAGTTCTTTATCCATGCTAGGACCTTTCCCCCCACCCCCGCCCGCCTCTCGAGCTTGAACAGCAGTCTCATGTGCGGTACTGTGTCAAAGGCTTTTTGGCAGTCCAGAAATATGCAGTCTGCCCAACCATCTCTGTCCTGTCTTATCCTCGTTATTTTATCTTAGAATTCCAAACGGTTTGTTAGGCACGATTTCCCTGTCCAGAACCCATGTTGATGTTTGTTCACAAACCTAACGTTCTCCAGGTGTGCAACCAGTTGTAGCCTAATTATTCTTTCCAGTATTTTACAAGGGATGCTTGTCAGTGATAAAGGTCTATAGTTAAGTGCCTCCTCCCTATCACCTTTCTTGAAGATCGGCACGACATTTGCCTTCTTCCAGCAACTGGGCAATTCTCCCGACATAAGTGACTCATTAAAGATCATTGCCAGAGGCACGCTGAGAGCCTGCGCTGCCTCTTTTAGTACCCACGGTGATACTTTGTCTGGTCCAACAGCTTTAGTTGCATCCAGTGTTGTCAACTGTTTCATTACCTCCTCTGCTGTCACCTCTGTATCCGATAGTCTTTCATCTAGGGTAATCTTTTCTAACAATGGGAGCTGCTCAGGCTCGGTTGTGAACACTCCATAGAAACTGGCATTCAGTACCTCACAGATTTCCTTGTCACTTTCTGTATATGCCCCTTCTGTCTTCCTTAGTCTTGTCACTTGGTCATTCACCAGGAGAGTGTAGTGTGGTAGTGGCCACACTAGCAGGGGAGGGTAGTGTGGTAGTGGCCACACTAGCAGGGTAGTGTAGTGTGGTAGTGGCCACACTAGCAGGTTAGTGTAGTGTGGTAGTGGCCACACTAGCAGGAGAGTAGTGTGGTAGTGGCCACACTAGCAGGGGAGTGTAGTGTGGTAGTGGCCACACTAGCAGGAGAGTAGTGTGGTAGTGGCCACACTAGCAGGAGAAAGTAGTGTGGCAGTGGCTACACTAGCAGGAGAGTAGTGTGGTAGTGGCCACACTAGCAGGGTAGGGTAGTGTGGTAGTGGCCACACTAGCAGGAGAGTGTAGTGTGGTAGTGGCCACACTAGCAGGAGAGTGTAGTGTGGTAGTGGCCACACTAGCAGGGAGAGTAGTGTGGTAGTGGCCACACTAGCAGGAGAGTAGTGTGGTAGTGGCCACACTTGCAGGAGAGTAGTGTGGTAGTGGCCACACTACCAGGAGAGTAGTGTGGTAGTGGCCACACTACCAGGAGAGAGTAGTGTGGTAGTGCCACACTACCAGGAGAGTAGTGTGTGGTAGTGCCACACTACCAGGAGAGTGTAGTGTGGTAGTGGCCACACTACCAGGAGAGTGTCTGTGTGGTAGTGGCCACACTACCAGGAGAGTGTAGTGTGGTAGTGGCCACACTACCAGGAGAGTGTAGTGTGGTAGTGGCCACACTAGCAGGAGGGTAGTGTGGTAGTGGCGCCAGCTGTGAGCAGGAGTGCAGTGTGGTAGTGGCCCACTAGGCAGGAGTGTAGTGTGGTAGTGGCCACACTAGCAGGAGTTGTAGTGTG